CCTTCGCCACACACAATCCCTCCCCATCTTCCCCCAGTTCATGCAGTTGAGTGTTCTAGTAATTTTGTAAGGAAGAAAGAGTTTCTGAACAGACCAGTTCAAGACAGCCTTTCTGCAGTTTTTTTCTCTTTCTGTTCTCTTTCTCGAGCAATAGTTGTCAGAAATTCTGTCCCTTCTCCGCATACTTGTGGCTTAATTTCTCCCAATTAGGAGATAACCTCTTAATTAGTTAATTCAATTTTTTTAGCTGTCTTCTGCTTTTTCACATGTGGACTTTTGAGGGACTGTACTGTGTAAAAAAGAGGGAGCTGAGTATGAGCCCTGCTCCTTAAATGGGACAAGCTCTTTTGTTATGACCATCTAGCTCCTACATAAACCATCTTTATTTTCCGTCTTGACTGCTACATTCATTTATTGGCATTTTTCTTCTTTTTAAGAAGATTTAGCATTATTTGTAAGTCAAAGAAAGAAAATATTTTTGACAAATGCAAATTTTGTTTATTGAAATATACATGGTTTAGTTTTTATGTAGCCTTTGAATAATGAATTAATAAAGCCATAGGCATTAGATATGCACTAATGCTGTTTTTTTAAAGGTGCAAACATTATACATTATGAAACAAATCTTTCTTTATAGGTATTATATAAAAAACTAGCGAAGTACCAAGATGAGCTTGATGATACGAAGTTGAAAGCCCAGGATTTAAACACAGATGTTGTCAGGCTGAAGGATGTACTGAAGTCTAAAGTGAGTATATGGATTAAATCTGTTAATAAAAGCGGTTGTTTTAACAAAAAATGAAATTTTAACAGTATCTCCATGGAAGAATTTGCTTCTAGCCAAAACTTATTTGCATTCTACTAATATGGATTTATTAAATACATTTTCTTAGCTGTTTTCGCAGTATACAAGTAATGCAGTATATTTAATTGTGGTTTTATGTATATATACACACACATATATATACATGTATGTCTTTATTAAAGTTAAAAATGCAGACAGTGAATAATACAGAGACTTGGAACTCTTTCGTCTTATTACCATATGGGATTAATAGAAATTTTTTTTTGCCATATATTTGTATACATCATATTTGTAATATTAATCTAGCCATTTTTAACAGGTGTCTTTTGACCATTAAAATGTGGCCATCTTGAACAAACATTGGTTCTTGAGAAGTCTCTCAATGTTTTAGCTAAATGGCAAAGTTTTCAGTGGAAAGAGAACATCCAATATTGCATCATACCTGTAGATATATAGATATCCCTATTTTGTGAAGCTTACTGTAAATTATTAAACAAACAAGCTTTATGTGTTAGGAGAGAGAGAGCTGTGAGCTTTTGGAGAAGTACCACAAAGCCTGTGAACAAGGACAAAGCTGGGAAGTAAAATGCCATCAAGCAGAAGCAGATTGTAGCTCTGTTAGACTGGTACTGATCAGTGCAGAGGCTGAGAACTGCAGGTTGAAGGAGAAAGTGGAGTCCCTTGAAAGAGTGATGGAGCAAGTAAGTTGAAATTGTTCTTTCCATAGTTTATAGATCATAGTGAAATGATCTGGTAGTATTTTAAGCCTGCAACTGTTTAATAATGCCACTTCTCATATTTTAGAGATATTTGCAACAATAAGCTGTAGAAGTTTGAGTTTACTTAATGACATGACTAGAATTCTTCTAGTCACACTTGGAAAAAAATCTTAAAAGATCTTAAAATGTAGTTGCATATTTCAAGGAAATAAATATACATTATAAGTTATAAAATGCTCTCACGTGTGGAATGTCTGAAGGCATAATGTCACACATAACTCCACAGCATACCGGAAACATACCTAGTGCTTTGCCACCTGTTACATTCCTGTCCCTGCTTTTCTTGCTTCTAGGTTTTCAACCTTCTTTCTCTACTGCTTTAGATGTCCCAGAGAGCCTCTTCGCACTTGAAAATCTGCAGAACTTAAAGGGAAATGCACAGCATGGCTTTGGAAATACATTACGAACATATAAGCTATTATCTGGTTTTCAATTGTTACAGTTTTTGTTGCAGATCATCTCTGCTTCCTAAATATCATTGTAGGCTATGAGGGCTAGCCATGCACATTAGATACTCAAAGGGAACTAAACTGCTGCTGTTCAGAAAGTGGATAAGAACATAACAGTAGCAAAACAACACAGGAAGATTGTGTGGCAGATTGATATTTAAAAAATACAATAAAACTGGTACATGGTCCTAGTTTGTACAGCGAGGCTTAAATGAATAGAGATTTCATAGAATCATAGAATGGTTTGGGTTGGAAGGGACCTCAAAGATCATCTTGAAAGATATCTCAGATTTTACGTTTAGTCACTAAGAAAGCAGAAGAGCTGAAGTAGTTTATTAGCAAAGAAATTTGACATGGGCTTTAAAATACTTGACTGTTTTAGGAAGTATCAATATCTCTTTAACAAATTTCCTTAATTTCTCTTGAAAATCAATTTCTGTTGAGCTTGATTTTTACAAAAACTACAAAATTAGTGTCTGATAGGCAATTTTTAAAAACTCAGTTTGGATAGACTCTGAAAAGTTGTTCATACATACTCAGATTACTTACATATTTTTAGTATGATTCTATCACTGTCCTGTCCATCCTCTGTTCCAGCTGAGGTAGTTTCTTGTTCTTTACAGGCTTCTACCACTCTTTTTGAACCTTTATGCCTTTTCTATACACCATGAGTAAAGCTGCTAATTTTTCCATACCTTTCAATCAATAGAGTTTTATCAGCCATGTATAACCTTCAGATAGGGCTTTTATTTTACATAATATTCCAGTGCAGAAGTCTGCAGTACTAGATTGCAGCATACATATATTAAAAAATGGAAACTAAACCTGATGCTGAATAATATTGTTCTTTCGGTGTTTCAAATACTGTTTATTTTCCTACAACTTATGCTGTCTGCAGTTTTCAGTATTCTTTTGTTCTGAAATACAAAAGCAGAATATTGAAACTGTTTATTGGCAAAAGAACTAGATTTTTGATTGACAGAAAATTGAGTTTTTCAGACTGAAGAAACCTTTTAGTTTAGTAAACAAAAAGTTTGAGTTTTGCTTTGAAAAGTGAAAAATAGTCTCTCCTCTGCTCTTAGCCTATGACCTGAGTTGTCTCATATCTTCCTTGTTTGAGGACAAATGGTTCATACACAAATGGTTCACACACAAAATGCAGATATTGGTTTGTTATACCAGGTTTAATTTCCTGCACTTTGCTTCAGCAAAATGTGAAACTTCTTTTCTTTAATGACTCTGTCTACAGAATCCACTGATCCCTATATTTCATAGCATTTTATCATTAGTATCAAATGCATTTATATTCAGATACATGCATCGGGTGAATTTATAAATCTGACACAGGATTGTGACTGAAGGCAAATATAACACTAATTATCCATCCTAGAGTGAGAGCAAATTTTGGTCATTGATCCCAGACTTCCTTTTTTCTTTTCATTTTTTTTTTTTTTAAGGATACTCTAATAGCCACTAAGCTTAGCAAACATACATCTAAAACTTTTAAATCTTTGTTTAGCTGCAGAGGAAGTGTGACTCATCCCATTCTGAAATAGAGCTCCTGAGAAAACAACTGGGAAATGAAAGAGCAGCTATGAAAAACCTGGAATCTTTGCTTCTGTCCAGTCGTGAGAAAGAACTTCAGTCGCAGATAGCAAAGCAAGAAAAAGACTCTGAAATTCAGTTGCTCAAGGAACAGCTTTCTGTAGCAGAAGATAAAGTGTGAGTAAATGACCAGGAGAATATTGCAGTGTTCTTTTATTTCATTCTTCCCAAGCGTATAGGCAAACAGATACGGGTTAATATCTAGCTGCATTTGCAAATGGCCAATGTACCTTTGTTACCTTAAAAGCAGAAAATACCAAAAATCTTCTTCTGATTCCTCAGCTAAACCCTAACAGACTTTTCTGTGTAGTGTTCTTGATCTCATTTTGCCCTTTTAATTTTGGATAATTGTATTTCTTAACATACCTGGAGGTTATAGTTCCTATCTAATTAAAGTGTATGGGCTTTACAGCGCTGTGCAGAGTCGAGATTTTACTCAGCTCAGAAACAGAGCAGCTCAGCTAGAGTTGGAACTGGATATGACCAAAAGACAGCTGGGGACTGAGCGCACTGAAAGGCAAGTGTGTGTTTTCGTATTGTGTTTCCTGCATCTAATTGGGGTGAAATGCAATACAGTACCAAGACTAACTAGTAGGGTAAACAGCAAAGTTTGGCTTTGCTCTGCTGTACATGTCCTGTGTGTTCAGAGGCTATTCACATCACAAAGTTTAGTGTGTTCAGCTGTCTAAATGAGTTGTCTAGGATCCCTTTACGGCCAATGGAATGACACAGTGAGATAAACTGCTCTCTGGAACTGCTTGGTTTAGGATGGGATGGATTGCTTTCCTGAAGATGCTCATCTATCTTCATTCATTGATACTGATGCCTGTCTTTATCTGTACTGGTAATCGAGGTGACTTTTTGGCTGTAAAAGTGATTTATAGACCACTAGTTTGGCAATATGAATGGCAACCTTTGGCTACACTACTAATGAACTAACCCAGGTCAGAGCATTGACTTGAGGTGTACACACAACGTATACTTGTCCATATAGTTTAATTTTAGTACACAGTCTGGAATGATTTTAGCCTATAGCAGCCTACATTCTACCAGGTACTACTTGAGGCACAGAAGGTGTTGGGGATGATTCTCAAATGGCAGTATGACTAAAGGAATGTGGGTTGTTTAGTTTGGGTTTGGGTTTTCTTGCTGCTGTTCTTGTGGGGTTGTTTGTTTGGTTTTGTTTGTTTTGGTTTTGTTTTTTTGTGGATTTTGGTTGGTTGGTTGTTTTGTAGGGTGTTTTTTTCATGGGAAGAGAATATGTACAAACTCTTTCATCTGATTTGGCCAGTGCCAGAGAATAGTCCCTGGCCTGCTTCATGAGTGAGTTTATCAATGTAGTGTCTTCAATAGTTTTCTTATCTGTGAAACAGCAGTAATTCTCTATTTCATGGGTGTATTAAGTATAAAATATTACGGTATCTGGCATTATTTTGGGTATAAAAATGAGATGGCTAAAAGAAGCAGTGTGATGTGATTGAAGCACAGGTCTGAGAATCGGGTGTCTTGTTTAATTGTAGTAAATTACTTTGTTGATAAGTAGGGATGAAGGTTTTGGAGGGGACATCTCCATACCTGAGGTTAGATCTTTTAAAGATGGATTTCTTAAGTGTCTCAGCGTATGCTTCAATTTCAGATTAGATTCTGCTTTACCCTGAAGTCATGGCAAAAACTGCAGCACTTTTGGATTAGATGCGCAAGTCAGTTTAAAAGGTGGAATCATTTGTGTTTGCTCAGCTCATAGAGTGAGCTAGACCATATACTAGTGCAGGATTGCCTTTGTTTTAAAAGAAACTGTATCTTCTTCAAACTGTTGTTTCTCTGCTACCCCTATGTGAGTGCATCCATCTCATGGCATATGGGTGCTCCTTGGTAAGGACTGTAAGTGTGTCTTCTTGAAACGCTTTCTGTTTACTGGCAGAAAGCTGAATCAGCCTCCATACTTAATATCTTCTCCTTGTTAAGGATAATTTGTTACTTGCATGGTTGCATATAGTTGCAATAATATCAACACTTAGTTTACAATTGGTTATCAAACCAAACATTAGAGCGAGCCTATGCCGAGGCAAAGATCACCAGTTTTCTTTCTCGAAGAGAATCTCTTTTCTACTTCAAGAGAATTACAAACATAATTACCTGAATTGTTTTGGAAAGAACAAACCTAGATTCCGTTACGCAGTCTCTAAGTCAATTGCAAAAACAGTATGCCGAAATCATAGATAGCAAAGACTGAAAAGTTCTCCTATAAAAATCTGACATTACATTGAGCTGTGTTTGAAGGGCTAGAGCTTGTTTCTTTTTTTTTTTGGCTTTTTCATAAAATCAAAACAGTGTCCTTTCAATGTTCTGCAAGGGTTACAAGAATTCTATTTGTTTTCTGTTTTTCCTCAGAAAGTCATGCTTTATAAGAGCAGGTATCTATCTCATGCTTGCAAGGAAGGGGATTAAAGCTCCAAGGTGGCTTCTTACAGTCCCTCTATTTTGCTGGTACTGGCAAGTGAAAACCAGAAAATTAGCCAGAGAGGAAAAAAATCCTATCATTAAAGTCAGTATCATGATAGTATATAATGGAAGCAGCAGATATGAGTACTGACTTTTTTTTGGTTATTGTTAAAGAAGTGGGTAGATGATACCCTTGTTCTAACACTGATTTAGCTAGTTGTGTTAGTTTACTGCCTTGGTGCAGAATGAAGTAATACATCAAATTAGGAGGTGGAAGTGCCAACACTGTCAGGCCTTGAATGAACATCAACACAGTGATACCACAAGGCTTAATCCATCTGAGTTTTTCTTTACCAGTTGGGAAAAGCACCTCCCTATTCCTCCCATCCTCCTGACTGCAGAAGCAGTTTGGACTCACATGGGAAGAACAGGTTTGATTTATTGCCCTGTTCTGATTGTGGTGACCAAGCACAGGGACTGTCAGTCAGTTTTCCGATGTAGTATCAGATCCCACATACTTCCTCCTTGTATACCCCGATGCAGGAGTTAAGGATTGATCCAGTATCCAGGCTGCACCCCTTGCAGTCAAAATGACTAGACTACCATTTTACAACTTTCCCACTGGGGAGTCCAGCATGTCTTAAATATCAACCAGTTTCAGGGCACTTCAGGTAGAATCCAGTCTACTGGCCTTGCCAACTCAAACAGCACAGGAATACTGCAAGCAACACTGTTCTTATATTAATATAATTGCTGATTTTAGTGATTGTCCTTATGTTGCAGACTAGTGAACAACCTGAAAATTAGGCTTTTCCTCCCAAGAGATTTTTTACAGTTTTTAAGAGCAACCATGCAGCAACCATGGCTAGCTTCTCTCTTTTAGGCAAAATAGAGGCAATGAATATGTAGAATAAAATCTGACTAAGAGAGTAATATAGAGAGTCTGTCTTCCAGAGAAGTATATGCTGAACATCACATCTCCTTCTAAAATAAAACAAAAAAGCTGACAATCTGAAATAGCGAAGAAAATTCATGATAATGACTGAGATAATTTTAATGATTTTTGGAAAATGCGTAGTCTCACTGTAAAATAATGTTTATTTAGGGAGCGTGTTGTAAAGGAGCTTCAACGTCGGAATCGTATGATCTCGTATCAGTTAAACTCTACATTAAGAACATCATCACCTGAACATTCCCGTCAGCCATTTCCTGATTGGTCTCCAGACTGCTCCCTGGAAGGGTAAGTGGTTTAACAACATTTAAGTTCCAAACACTGAGAGGGAATAAATAAATAAATAAATGGGTGAACTCTGGTATTTCTCATTGAAATATTGACTGAATTTCATTGCTCCAAGTAAAATTACAAGAAGATTCAGCACCACAATATTTTGATGATACTCCTTTTATTTTATTTTATTGAGCTGTATCAAATAGCAACTACTTACACCGGGATGCTATAGTCATAAATTCTTCAAACAGTAATAAAAAGATGCTACAGAAAATCTCTACTTAACTTGCCACCAGATCTAAGTATTTTCATCTTTCCTGCCGAAAAGCTCTTAACTATACAGCCTTTCTTCTTCTAGCAGTTTTCCACATAGTTTTTACTCTATATATGAGCAAGTTTTACAAGAAACATAAATGCATTCTAAAAATCTTCAACTACTTGTAACCCTGAGGAGGAGCAAGCCTATCTTCCTTTTAAGAATCAGTGAAATGGAGCCTCCACAGTATGGAGGTACTCCCTTGCCAGTTTTGGTCTCAGCTTAGTTTCATATTTGGTAGCAGCATGCTTGTTGCATCACACATTTTTGGTAGATTGATGGCAGCCTGCATTAAAAAAAATTGCCCATTGAGGGGGAAAAATTCTCAATTCATGACTTCCAGGAAATAGTTTGTGCTTTTGAGATGGCTATCTACTTTCAATAGGAATTTTGTTAATACTTTGTAAACTGAGATGACTACCTTTGGCATGTGATTCATCTTCATTATCAAAGGCTTCTCTAAGAATATGAGACAAGTTTCCTCAGGTCAGTGGGCTGGTTCTGGTGCCCTTAGGAGGAAAACACAGCTGTGCAAGACAGTGATTTTGTAGCTATTGCCAGGCCTTGATAGTACAGGGAGTCTTCATTCCTCTGATAGGATTGTGTCTACTCCTCCTTAGTCTGAGTACAGCGTAGCTCTTAAATTTGTTGAAATAAGCATTGTATCTGGGAACGGTTTAATTTAATTACCATAACACTTTCTTCTATTTTTGATACTGTTTAAAGAAAAGAGGGAGCAATTCATATAGTCACCACACTGATAGTAACAATTATGGTGCTTTTTCTATTACTCTCACTTCAGGGTGTTAGAATTCCTTTCTAATTTGTAAACTTCTGGCTAAATACCAAATCAAGACTAATCTACAAACTAGATTGTCAATTCAGCTCCTTTCTTATTTGCTTTTGGGGTGCTTTGGGGTTTCTGTTCTTTGATTTTTCCTCATGGCTGGCCTTACATGACACTATCTGTTTTTGCACATTCCTGGCAAACAATTTTAAGTAAGGAATGAAATATGTAAGCCAGATACAAATACTTTGCTTAAAATCTTTAGCTGGTTTAAGCTAAATCTTTCTCAAATCAATGTAGCTTTTGAGTGTGAATGAACTAATTTTTTTTTATGCCTAATTATTTTCTATTTTTGAGTGCTCAAAGTACTAATATAATTCATTATTTTTTTCTTCATCCAGATCTGCTATACATTTTTGGCTAAAGGGGAAGGACTATGGTTGTTCCATAGTTACTTACTTATACTAAGTGGTTTGGGATTGTTTTAATGTAAAAAACCCCAAACAACTGTGTAATAAAACCTGAAACTTTGACAGTCTATGCTATGTTTTAAAAGCTTAACTGGAAAGAAATGATCAGGTTTGTGTGGTGTAGTAATACAGTGATGAATAATATAACCTGTTTGATAAGGCTCACTGAGATAAAGTAGAGATCTAAATCTGGATCTGTGTGCTTTGTGTAAGTGACTTACATTTGATCTACCTATGTCTGGGTGAGTGCTCTAATGTCCAGAATACTAAAGTTCTTGATAAATTTTATGTCAAGAACTTAAGAGTCTGTATCAAGAAAATGAGAGACTAGCAGAAGTGTCCGAAATATTTACGAATGATGAGATAATTTCCCTCCCTCCTAACTCTAGAAAGCTTCAGAAAATTCACTGAGACCAGAACAAAAGAAAAAATAATGTAAAATATGGCCTGAGAGTAAACACAAGAATATTAATGCAAATATTTGTGTGCAATCATCAGCAGAATCACAGAATTAAGGCTAAATAGATATGGGAAATTGATGAGATATGATCTAGGTGCAGGTTCCTGTTGGATTTAAAAGCCGAATACTATTAGAAGTAGAACTCCAGGAGGTATAATTTCATTTTTCAATTGCTTGAAGACAAGTTACCAGGGACTGAAAAATATACTGTAGAAACAACTACTCATTGACAGAGAGGCTTCTTCCACAGCTAACGTCTGACTCTGCAGTACATGAAGTATAATGAGATAGCAGTGCAGGAATCACTAATACCCCTCCTCCTCTGCAGTCTTTTGGTGCAATTTTAGCAGACATGCTGTGAAGGGAAATAAGGTGGACGGGCACATTTTTATTTTATTGAGAATGTGATATCAGAAATAAATTGGACAGTAACTTTTTCTTATTTTTCTATTTTTGTCTTTATTGCACCAGACTCACTGTTTCAGTAAACTGAACAAGTCGTGCCTTGTACTTTGTCTTGCAGACCTAGTGGGAAAGACCTTTTCTGTCTGATTTCCTCAAGTGATAGGAGTCCAAAGCTTGCTTTTCACTTCAATAAGCATTATAGCGCTTTTGTAGAATAAAATCTATTCTTTCAAATGATTTGGATTGACTTTGTAGAGACTGGGAAGCTTGCTCAAATTGCTTTCAGAATCAAAACCTTAAAATTTTTCACATGGAAACATCAGAATGTATTTCTGTATTCACTGAACATGAAATAAATTAGATTTCTTTTCCTTTCTAGGAATTCTTGTTTCAAGGACTTATAATGTTATAGTCACAATGGCTTGTGAAGACTCTGCACACCATCTGGACAGCTAAAGTTGAATGCTCATTTAATTAATCATTTTTCCCCGCTGAATGCTAAATTTCATTAAATCTCATTCACAAATGCTTGCACAGGTTTTTCATCACTCCTAATGTTGTTCATCAGAAAGAAAACAGTTCAGATGACAGCTTCCTCTCCCACCACTCTCCCAGCTCTTGTATTACCATGTCAGTAAACAGAAAGAAAAAGCCCCACAAGTTCCACCAACTTTGCTGACAGTGTGCTTTTATTTTAAAAGTGTGCATAATTTTAAAAGGTTACTGATACAATTGAAAAAAGAGGAAAGAAAATAACAACATGAAATTTTATTGGGGGGAGAAAGTGTCTATATTCAGGTGTCATGATTTGGGTGTATTTGTGCTGAACTATGTGAGTATTATACTTGAGAGAATGCTGTGCCACCTCAAGATAGGAAAAGCCTGGGGATTTTTTTCCTCTCTTCAAATCTGACTTATTCATTTGGATAAATAAGATAGCAATGCCAGCAGATACCAGTGTTTAAATACCCATGTATGAAGAGATGTATTTTTTTGTACTGGAGGTGTGTTTAACTTCTAAGGATTTTATTAAAACTGCACAAAGTTTCTACTTAGAGTTCTTTAATAGGAATGAATACTGTTTGGTGGCAGTTATTGGCACTTAAACTCACTCAGAATTTCTGCACTTTCTTATGTCATAACATTTGTTTGTGTTCTATGTTCTCACATTTTAAATGCAAGAGAAAATGTAAAATTCTCTCCTATAGATCATCTGGGAAATCTGTGCTTTGGTATTTGGAAATAGAGAAGTAATTCCTGTTTAATTCATTTAAATTATTCATTTTTTTTTAATAGAGTCATCCTTCTTGTTATCTTTGTAAAAGGTCTCCAGTTTATTTTCTAAAACCAAAAGCATGTTGGTTGCAGTAATGGTTTAAATGCGTATCTTGCACCTATGTTCCTTCATATGAATTTGGTTTGTGATAACCTAACTGCTAAACATTAACATATTTTGAGTAATGATTGAAGACAGCATAACCCATATGAATGCCTCTAACTGCCTTTTAAAACTTGTTGATATGAGCTGTTGATATGAGTCTCTGCTGCTTTTTAGGAGCAGGTAGCTTTAAAAAGTCTATAAAAGTATTTTGATTAATAATGTAAAAAATTATAATATATATAAATATATGCCTGTACTATACATTTGAGGATTATCTTTCATAAGAGCGACACTATTTTTCAGCACAGGTGACTTGATTTTAATTTGTACGTTAGAATTATTCATTCTTTATTTGGCAGACAGCCACAGAGGTCATTCTGGCAATCACCAGTGTTAATGGGACTACTTGCAAGTCATAAAGAATGTAGGATCAGACATGATGATATTGACCGTTTCCACATTATGCAGTTATTAAAAGGAATACTGTACACTTTACCCAGATGGGAGAAGATGACCATCTCATCATCCCAGAAGATGAAAAAGTGATTTGTTGTTTTGCAATCATATTGCCATATCGATTTTTTTTATTTTTTTTTAAGAAGATGATCACAAGAAAGCTTGAGACATGATCTTGGTTTATAAAACTAATACCCTATCATTTAGAAGATGAGAAGATATTAGATGAACATAAAATAGATCAAACTGAGGTTTTTTTGGGCGTGGATATACTGTGCAGAGGCCCACGTCCTAAAATGTAATTCCTTAGTTGCAACAATGATGGCTTTTTCATATAGGATCATAAAGAAGTCAGTAACGAGGTGCTCCCCTATGAAGTAGAAGTGTAGGATTCTTCAGCAACTTGGACTTTAAACTTCTTAAGTAGAGAGGATTAAGGGCAAATGAGATTATAAATACCAAGCTGTAACAAACTTGCTTTTTGTAGAGTACTCCGATAAAGTAATAGCCTTTATTATCAGGGTTAGCCTTTCCCTAGAAAAATGTTACGGAAATAAGAACTTTGTTTTTCTGCAGGCAAACTGCAAAGCAATCATCAGGTTATGGATGGGGCCAAAGGAATTTTTTTCAGTGGTGGTCTGATGTAGATTTCAAGTGACTTCTGACAGCAATTAGTTGTTATGTAATTACATATTGTTAAGAAAAACAATCATTCAAGTGAGTGTATTCAGAGAGCA